AAAGTTTAGGAAATGATATTTTTTCATCAGAAGTGTATTAAATGTAGCATTAAGATTAATTTAATTACTTTAGATATTTGTAATGACGATCCGATTACATATGTTGTCGGCCTGAAGAGTTATAAGGCAATGAAACGAAGCAAAAGACGGAAAACCTATTTTCTGTATTTTATCACTAACAATAAATGAGTAACAATAATTTTACAAGTTCCGAAATGACACTTGCTATGCAATATGACGCCTTATCAGCAATCGCACAGTTAGTCTTTATATATCTATGGACGTGGTTTCAATATTAACTGAATGCTTACCGTCTCTTTCTTTTTACTTGTTGATCCATTGTACTATAAAAGATTTAAGCTTTGTGTCAGATTTTTTACATTGATTGGAACAACAAATGTGCTACACATGTACGCCATTAATCTACAAACTTACCGTCAAAATTTGTTGTTAATTGTAGATAGTTTGGAACCTAAAGTACTCAAGGAGAATCATCGAAAAATTAAACGAATATTGATTAATACATGCATTATATACAATAATGATTTTAATTATTCAAAACTAAGTCAAAGTAAATCATCATATAGAGCAGAGACAGAAAAGATTAAAGTACAATGGAACAAGAACAATTGCCTTTGTATATTGGAGCTTTATTTACAACCAAAGCCAGAAAAGAATCGTCGACTACTTTTAAGCATAAAATCTCAATCTAAACTTTGCTAAAAGGATAACATGCTCGCCTAATTATCAGGTGCCTGTTGTATAAAGCTCTTAACTATTTTTGACTACACTATTTGCAGATAAAGGTAGTTAAATTTAACCACGCCAGTTAAGTCTGTTTGTATAAAAACTAATTGGCGTAACAGCAGTTAAAGGTAGTTAAAGTTAACATCCTATGGAGCATACTTAACTTTTGAAAACACAGTTAATTATGGCGGCTTAGCTTTGAACATGATGGTAACGATGCATTAACATGTCCTGTGTTGTTCACATCTAACTCATGCACTTTTGTACAACTCCGCCGCATAAAAGCCATAAAGACAGCTATAATACACATACACTAGTTCTTCTCAAAGCGATTTAAAATTGGTTCATTTAACCAAATCTTTCCCCAGTCAATCCTGGAATCAACACTCTCATGTAATGTGAAGAGAAGTAAAAAGATGCCTAAAGTCACTTTAAATATATTCACCTTGCTTTGATGAGCAAAACACATAAAAATACAGGATGTTCAAAATAACTCAAAACTAATTCAATGGAAGTTAGTTGCCTTAAAACATGGATAAAACTATCGCTTACCAGCACCAATGAAACAGGTTGGTATACACAGTTTCATGTAATATCAGATATATAAACATAAATACCAGCTCTGCATAAGAAGCAATATATTTATATTTCAGAATATTTTCAGTTACGTAAATTAAATTATTTGAAGCAAATAAAGCGCTCAATATCAGAGTTGAGCGTATATGACTAAATAAATAACAATTCTTAAAATGTTCTTACTCGAGTCTCATGCCAAAGCAATGAAAAAGCAATTTCAAACTTCATCTGAAGATTGCTTTGGCATAAAACTCCGAGTAGCGACTTTCTAATAATTGTAATTTATTTAATCTTTATATTTCAGATTATGTTTGATTAATATGGACAAATTTCTGTCACTTCAACAACCTAAAACATTAATGCAGCAAAACCTATGCACATTGGAGGCTAGAGCTATGGCACATATAAAATTCCGTAGTTTTATGAAACATTGAAATAATGCAAACTTCTAAAAACTATCTTGTGCCCATGGAGGGGAGCACTAAAAAGCATGAGCGACAATTACGTACAAAGAACAACATAAAATAAATACAAGAAATGTGGCAAAGCAATGCTTCATCTGGAAATTTGTAACTAAAATAATAAAATTCGTACCTCAAAGCCGTGAATTATAACAATTACAGGCAAGTATGTAACTTTTAGCGGTCATATCTCGGCTGACATGATCCGTTTATTATCGTTGTCACCAAAAAGCAATGATATAAACCTTGGCTTTCTGAGCAAGTATAAAATATTGCTTGATTAAAATGATTGAAGAATCTTCATTTCACCTACTATCGTTTTTCATCGCATTCCGAACGTTTACATTCTTATGCGCAGTCTAAAGAAAGTATCCGTTTAAAATGAGTTTGTCGTGAGACTTTCCACTTTCCACACGCTTAAAGTCAAGTAAGTTTAACCAATCACGGCAACGAAAGTCAAAGCCTTTGTAGTAGTCCGACCACTTAAGCCCGAAGTAAGTCCTGAGTCCTGACCAATTAAAATGCCAGAATAGATCACCCAGATCTGCGAATTTTAGTATTTAACAGTTATAGTAATTATTCTTTCTTACATGGCAAGCGTCACTTTCGGCAAACTTGCGCTTTGATTGGCTCAAGAACGGCCATTATTCTCGAAATGGACCACAGACCACATTTCAAAAGCTTAATTTTACAATACAAAACGAATTATTCTTGTACAAGAATTACTCGTGTGAGTTACTCGACTCACTAAATCCCTCCCTGGTTTCTAATGATGGGATCTATTCTCTCATGAGACGTCGAAGAAAGTATTGCTGCATAATTTTGTTCTCTGTAAAATATTTCACCAAAGTTTAGCCGGTACAGATACGACACATTAGCACCGAAGATTACCATCAAAATGAAAATCTTCATTTCAATTTCTCAAAACTTCGCCATCTTCGCTTTTTAACTTGTTTTTGGATCACGTCACATATACGACATACTTGGATATTTCGAAAAAATTCTGAATGATTTGGCAAGCTGTTCTTTCTTCTTACTATGATCATCGAGCAGTTTTTTTTTCTTGGGTAGTGTGTACGAGCTTGAAGAGCTCAACAAAAAGGATGAAGATAGATTCGTTAGTAAAAATTTTAACTCCCATGCAAGAAGTCAAAGTGAAATTTTACCTGTTCGAGCATTTCTACAGATAATTCGCCATCTTTATCTATGGTGAGAACAGCTCGCGCTAACTGTTTGTTAGAAGTATTTAGTTTGATAACAAAATTTGACAGTTCTAAACAAAGCAAGATCTCAATGAAAATTTTAATGCAACAACCACTTCTCAACTCAACATGTTTGATAGCATCACCGAACCTGGTCTTTCCTACTATCTATGATGTATGTTAAGCTTCCCAAGCCTCTGTCGCAATTCTTCAATTCTAAAATGCGACACATGTACCGAAGATTACCATCAAAATGAATATCTTCATTTCAATTTCTCAAACCTTCTTCATCTTCGCTTTGAACTGACATTTGTTGCATAACTAAATCCGCCAGTCCACAAATTTTTCTAATTTCTCTATTTTCGCCTAAATATATAGTTTACAGTGTTAAAGGTAAAGCTTTTAAATTCAAAAGACTCGTTTCCTTACTAAACCATCAAAGGCAGATAGATATAATAAATTATCAACTGCCTTCTTGTTAAAATATTCAACAAAGGTCAGTGGTGTAGCGGAGAAAAATGGGGCACTTGAAGTAACAAAACTTAACATACCCTACACCACCACGAAAAGATCACATGAATTCACTAAATACTTGGAAAATGAAGCAAATGTTGAAGAATTGATTGAAAATGCGGATATGCTTCAGTATGACTGATCCTGCTTTGGATCATCTCCATCATTTTCCCACAACTTTACAAGTCAATCGTTTGCTAAAAGAGAAATGATCAATTATCATATCGCTAACTTGATAAGAGCAAAGGTCTGTATGATAATATATGAAACCTCGCTTTCGCCCAGACAATTCCTTGCCTTAACAGAGCTTTAATTTAACTGTCAGATTATTCAACTCAAAAATGAGTTACTGTTGACCGTATACTAGAAATAATATGATTACCTGTAAATAGTTACTGTAAATGTTACACGTTTAAGAAACATATTACGAGTTACCGTGCGTAACTTGTATAGGTACATGTATGCTTTTGAAATTAGTTACTTTTGCAATAGTAACTTACAACATTTACCATATAAACTCTCTGAACAAGCTATGTTGTTTAACTAATCACTTTTGTAACAGTAACTTACAACATTTTACCATACAAACTCACTGAACAAGTGATGTTTATAGTGAATTAGTTCATTTTGA